AAAATTTGAGACAAGGATAACTAAGTTGCCTAGGTAACTCATTATGTAGCAGCGGCAAGCTTTGAACTTGCAATGCCTTTGCCTCACCCTGGCCTCTCAAGTAACTGGGATTATAGATATGTGCTATAATACCCAACAAATGGCTATGTTGTTAGAAGCTTTCCAAGTGGTTTTCATGTGCATTTTGGATTTTGAATCACTTGATTATTTACTTAGTAGAATACAACCATTATGCTACCATACATAAAATTAAGGATTTTATTGTTTTAGGATAAAGGTTTGTGTATGTATGTATGTATGTATGTATGTATGTATGTATGTATGTATGAAGAATCAGCATAATGAAAGAAATCATAACCAAATGCACGGGAAGAACTTCTTCTAAATAAACGTGGCTGTTTTCCCTGTACATAAATATGTGTACCACATGTGAGGAGTACTCTCAGAGGCCAGAAGAAGATGTAAGATTCCCTGGAACTGGTGTTATAGATAGCTGTGAGCTGCCATGTGGGTCTGGAAATTAACCAAGGGTCCTCTGAAGAACAGTGTTCTTAACTGCTGAGCCATCTCCCCAGCCCTATATGTGGAGGAGCTTTTAATAGAATTTAACAAACTTAATAAGGTTCTATTTTGCACCAGTTACTATGTCAACTGCTAGAGAAACAGATGGATAAGAAAAATGAATTACCATATAATAAGCACATTTAAAATCAAAAGGTTTTCTAAGGCTTTTTTTTAGAGGAAGGGGAACTTAAAAGATGAATGTGATCCAATTTTTACAGACAAAGCCATTTCAAGAAAGGAAACGAGGAAAACAGAAGGATGAATGTGTATTCACAAAAGAAGCCAAGACATGAAATACACCTAGATGCCCACTGATGGATGAAAGTGTGTTATCTATACACAACAGTGTACTATCCATTCATAAAACAGAATAAGATCCTGTCATTTGCTGCATCAGGAATGGAGCTGGGAGGCATTACTGTAACTGAAGTAAGTTAGGCACAGAAAGATGAATACTGCATGTTCTTAAATGCAGCAGCTAAAATAACTGATTTCATGAAGGTGGAAAGTATAACAGTAGTTACCAGAGGCTAAGAGGAATAAGGAGGAAGGAGAGGGCTGGTTACTAAATATAAAGGTAAAGTTGGGGTAGGTAGACTGCCTTCTAATGTTCCAGAGAACCACAGGGAAGCCATGGTGGACAATAATCGCGTCTTTGAAATGAGCTAGAACAGAGTTTGCATAATCTCACCACAAAGAAACAGGGTGATGGAGACACCAGTTATCCTGAGACAGCCATTACATATTGCATCCTTGAACCATCAAACTGTGTCTCACAAATACATACAGATTTTATGCATCAATTAAATATTTAAAAATAAGCATTAAGAATAAAAGGTAAGTATAAAGTGAAGCCTGGAGTTGTACTTTACTGTCATTTCAGAATTTGGAATAGGGGTGTGGAGCAGGAAACTTTGCTGAAAAAGTGAACTGGAAAATGTAGAAATTGTACAGTAACTTTGGGAAACTTTCTAGTTTCCTAGAAAGCTAAACAGAAATTTGTGTAGACATGAGCAATTTTACTCTTAAGTTTGTATCCAAAGGCACATAATGGCTTGCATAAGAATATACAATGTTCATAGCCATACAGCTTATGATAACCACAAAATTGAACTCTAAAATTATCAGTTGGCGAAAAGGATAAATAAATCATGAGATAACTATACAAGAGATACATACATAAACAATAAAAAGGTATGAATACATGATAAGATAGAACATTATGGTCCTCAAAGGAAAAGTCAGAAATAAAGGATTAAATACTGTATGATTTCATTTATATGAAATGCCCAGAAGAGACAAACCTGGAAATTTGGGCTGGAAAGATGGCTCAGTAGCTAAGAGTGATTGTTGAACAACCTGAGAACCAGAATTCAAATTCCAGCACCCATACAACGAGCTGTAACACAAACTCTGAAATGGGTAGAGATAAACGGATAACTGAGATTTGCTGGATGCTAGCCTACGTGTGAAAACTATAGCCTCTTGGTTCAGGAAAAGACCTTGCCTCATCAGAATAGGCAGGAAGTGATAAAGAAGGACACCTGACATTTTCTTCTGGCCACCAACATTTGCACACAAAACGTGTGTATATACTTACTCCAACACATATGTAAATGAATAATTATGTAAGTAAATCTTTTGGAAAAGGACAGGAAAAAATGAAAGGTTGCTTAGTGAAGGGGTGTGAATAGGAACTAACTTCAAAGGTGCCTAAGAAATGGACTTTCTCCAAGTAGACTTGGCTTATGGATCATGGACTAAAAAAATATGTTGAATTTCACTAACAGGTGAAGAAAGGTTTTTTTTTTGTTGGAAAATCCACTTAGGCAACTTTAGTAGAAAACATCATAGTTAAGTAACTATGTTGAAATATTAAAGACAATTCTGAGACTAAGTTAATAAAGCCCCAAGAACTCAGACCAGTAGTAGAATATAAATCATTTCACCAAGCTTACAGAACATGGGGATAGAGACTAAGGAAGCAAAGAGAAAAGTGGTAAAGGAAAACTACAATTTATGGTGAAGAATATCAATAATCACCTGGATTAAATTCACCTATTGAAGAAAAACCCATAGAGATGTTAAATGTGTAGTTGTGGAAAATACACACAGTAAAAATAGTAGACAGAAGAAGAATGGTTTTTTTGAAACAAAAATTTTACTTTAAACAATTAGCATGAAAAGCGGTAATGAGAGGCACTACACAGCAAGAATCAAGAGATTGTAATGGAGAATATACTCTAAGAAATATTGTTAATTATGTACCAGGGATAGTGTCTGCTTTCTATACTGCTGGGTCTTCATGACTTAGCAAATAATAGGTATTCCATAAATTACTGAATAGAATCATTACCAAATCATAGTGAAATGATCTGTTTGTGTGTTTGACATACTACAGAGGAAAGGGCTGTATCTTAGGGGTTTTATTGCTGTGATAAAACACTATCACATGAGCAACTTGAAGAAGAAAGGGTTTATTTCACCTTAACAGTTGGTAGTCCATCATCCAAAGAAGTCAGGGGAAGAACTTGGAGGCAGAAACTAAAGCAGAGGCCATGGAGGAATGTTTACTGGTTTGTCCAGACTGCTTTCTTATAGTACCCATGACCATCTGCCCAGGAATGGCACCACCCACAATCAGCTGGGCCCTCCAACTGTAATTAAAAATTGATTACAGACTTGCCTACAGGGAAATCTTATGGAGACACTTTCCAAAATGACTCTATTAGCCAGGGTGGGAAGTGCTTAGGTTTGTGGCATGAATGTTCAGTATATGGGACTGGACAGATGACTCAGTGGTTAAAAGCACTTGCTGTTTTTCCAGAGGATCTGTGTTTGATTCCCAGCAACCACATTGGGTAGCTCACAGTCACCTGTAACTCCAGATCCTTGGGAGCCCAGATGTTCTTCTAACTTCCATGGGCACCCACCCAATGGAGTATATATACAGATACACATGTACATGTATGTAAATATAATAGAAATATTTTAAAGAGCAAATATTTTTAAATACACTCCTAGTGGGATAGAAATCATGACTGTCACACTTCAAGGATAATTTCTTTCATAAATTTTCCTGGTTTCTGCAAACAGTGGCATACTCGACACTTCTACTTTCATAGAACTCATAATTTGAACTATCACATGTAGCAATTGTTATATGTTTTAAATTTCCCTTGCTATTTCAAATCTTGCTCCCTTTCAAAAACATTTTAACATTTTGAAGACAGGGAAGGTGCCTTATACTCTAATTGCCTTTCCAGGTACTTAAAAATTTATTTAATAAACTTAAGTATTATTATTGATGCTACCAGGTAAGTATGGATTACACATAGCGGTACAAGCCAAGGCTTCCAAGGAGCGACTATTTGGAGACAGGCTCATTGGAAAAGAATATGAAGAAGTTTAATGGCAGGGCAGGAGAAGACAGCTACTGGTGTTCTGTTTCAAGCCTGTGTTGTACTCCTTCTGGCAAAGCAGTGTGGTAAGGATGCCTATCCATCCTGCAAAAGAGCAGGTATGGGAAGTGAGAGGAAGATGTTTAGGAAAGAAAGCAGAACATGCCCTTCACTGTACTCTGGACAAAACTTGGAGTTGCTCTTCTACTGGGAGACATTGTGTTAGGAGTTTGAGGCCAAAAGGAAAATCCCAAGTAAACAACAAATTTAACCCACTCAAACTCTATAGGAAAAGCCAGAGAAGGATGTTTTTCATTTCCAGAAATGTGGAGGGAATCTGTGAGGAATTGTTTCTAATTGGGAAATTGCAAGGGATCAACTAACTGCATTGGTAACATCTCAGACACACAGCCTGGATATATTCAACCAGGACCCTGAGAGGAAGTAGGGAGATGGCCTGGCTGACCTCCCAAGGTCTTTTCTATTCCCACAGTTATACACTGAATCCTACCTTTCCCCATTTATGCTTGTACACATGCCTGCAGTCAGTTTGATAGTAAGTCCCCTGGGCTGTCTTCCAGATTTAGTAGGATGCCACACAAGGCTGCTAGCACTCAACAAATGACTCAAATATTTGTTGAATGAATCGTGTTTAAATAGGGCTCATGTGATCTCCTCAGCTGTAGAGCATAGAGGACTGGAGGCAGCATGAACACACACACGAACACACACACACACACACACACACACACACACACACACACACACACACACTCTAACCTTGGGAAAGCACAGCCTACCTGCTCAGCAAGCAGGCTGCAGGAGTTTCCTTGGCAAGGATTCTGCCTGCTGCTTCCAAATGCTATCTCCAGAAGGTCACTTCACCCAGATATAGGACAGCTTCCCTTGGTCTCCAAGAGGAGACAAAGTTTGTCGAGATTCAGTGCGGGTCTCCCCTGGGGTGCGTCCGCACTCACACCCCTACTCTGGGTGCCCCTGGCACACAGCTGGTCCTCCCGCAGCGCCCCGCCTTACCTTGGTGAGCTGAGCAATTTTCTTGCACATTTTCACGTGCATCTCGGGATCACAGTCCATTCTCCAGCCAGAGCCAGCGCGGGCGTCGGCTTTAGAGCTCGTGCAGGTTCCTGGCGGGTGGATTTTGCTGTTCAGGGCAGATGCCATCGCTTTAAGGTGCCCTGCGCTGAAAAGCTCTGGCTCTCACTCTCCCTGCCGGCGGATGTGCACGTGCATGCGAGCGCGGGCGTGAGGGCTTTCTCCAGAGAGGTGGCACTGCGGTCCTGCCAGCACAGCCGCGTGGCTCCCTTTTCCGGAGGTGTCTCCCTCCCGGGCTCACTCGCGCACCCACCTCCCTCTGCTCGTGCTCGTTCCCGGGCTAGCTGGCTCACGGGCACCCGCACCCTGCAGCGTGGCGCTGGAGCCCTGCACGTGGGGCTCACGATCTGCGGATGCTTCCCAGAGTACGGGTTACACCTGCAAGAGGACAGCTTCTGAGGGGTCTTGCCCTGGATAGGTAGTTTTTGTGGGCAACCGGGTGGCACCAGGGCTTCCAACTCTGCTAGGAATGATCTAGCCCAAGTGGATTGCCCAGGCTAATAGGAAAAAATGCTGGCCTTAGTCCCTAGCAGACTGGCGAGTCAGAATGAAAATACCCTAAACTCCTGAAAATTGGTAGTAGATGGGACAGGTGAGACAGCGGGTCCAATACCTGCAGCCATGGTGAAGATATGAGGCGGGATGCTTAGGGGCAAGGGTTGGGAATAGGGGGCTAATCACTCTGATTCAAGGAGATTGGAATGCGAGCTGAACACTGGACAGCACTGGAGCCTCAGAACCACAGAGTAGGACTAACTGGGAACACCCCTCCCCAACCCCCGAGCTTGGACAGGAGCCTGCTCAGTGTAGTATGCTGGAGATCTCCAGTAACGTCAAGGCCTCGGGCAACTTATAGTAGGCAAAGGTTAAGCAACACAGAGTAAAATTCATTCGGGAACGTAGAGACAGTGGTAGCTGGTGTAGGAAAGGAAGGCACAAGGAGCATCAGATGGGGCTGAAAAGCCAAGTTTATGGACTTAAAGTGAAGTGGCCCATCAAACTGTGCCATTACCTCCGACAGACCTGAGGATGAATCCTGCCACATGTTGAAGTTGCTGCCTCTCGTTTGGGAAGGAGATGGGCAGCAAGCGAACAAAACAATAAAAATCCTTTCGGGCTTTCTTTGGTTTTAAACAATGTACTTTGTAAAACATGACATAATCCTGGTCAGATTTTTCTGGTGTAAATAGTGTCATCATTATGAATTTGCATGGCTAATATATTTTATTTTGCAAATTGTCTGATCCTACACACTGGAGGTGACAATACTCATTTTTATAAGTGAGGTAAATTAACAGTTGGGTGTGAAATAGAGACGCTGATACTACTATTGTGGATTCATACCCACTTCCCCAGGCATTCATAGGACCCACAATTCGGCCTTATCCTAGAATTCCTTGGGACAAAAATCTCTGGCAATCAGGGCCAGGAGTCCATGAGTTAAAAACAAGCTCCCTGTTTAATTCCAAGTTGTATAGAATGACATCTGTAGGATCTTAATAATACACCAACTTTTACAGGAACTCAACCACTGAGTAAATGAGAGGAAAATAAGCCTTCATGCAACCAGAACACTGAACCAAAAATTATTTATCGTTTTGGATTATCACATCAGTAGCCCTGTGTAGCACGGATAATAAAAACTCAGAGACAGATATTGGGGTTCAAACTAAAGATCAGGGAAGCAAAGCAGCCAAGCTACCAGAGAGTTCTTATTTCTAACATGGCTGGGGCATTCCTAGTCTCAACGTAGCTGGAGACTAATTGCCAGAAGACTCTTTGCTTCTTCCTTATATACCCATCTAGTGCTGGGATTAAAGATGTGAGCTCTGTTGCTCTTTTAGACTGATTCACTCTTACATAGCCCAGGGTGGTCTTGAACTCACAGAGATCCATCTGCCTCTGTCTCTTGAGTGCTAGGATTAAAGGTGCGTGCCACTATTGCCCAGCTTCTTGGCTGTGTCTAGTTTTGTATTCTTATATTCTGTGGCTTTATTAGATCATAAACAATATATCACCATAATCCCCCCTTTTTGTCTAATATAAAAGAGAAGGCTATAACTAATATAAGAAAAATCATATACAATAAGTACAATAACTATATACAATATATACAGGCAATAAATACATCAACAATATCTAGTCCATTTGCATTTTGACAAATTCAGAGAAAATACTCCGCTATCTATCCTGTCTTGGTGAGTCCAAAGTGTTGTAGCTAATTCACTTTCTATTCTAATTTGCATTATAAAATTATCTGCTAATGTCACTCAAACTTTTATACTCTATACCTCTTTAGTGAGTTTCTTTTCTGAGTCTGGTAAACAAGGAAAACTATAACTATAATATCTAGTCTTCAACTCCCTCAGAGACCTGAGAAGGAATTAATATTAATTGAGTAAGCAGGAAGTGTGAGCAAGCAACTTCCAAAAAATATGGGAAATGGCTAAAACAGCTGGCTGCCTGGACAGTTGTCCAAGGTTCTTCTACAATGTTGGGGCATCCATATTTAGCCTATAGGCCTAGGATACCTGACAGACTTTTCTGTGAACTAGGATTTTTGAATGACTGTCCTGCCTTGTCTTGGCAAGGTTTTGCAGTCACTCTCTTTTGTGTCCTGCTTGTTCAGTTTGGACAGCATACTGTCATCAATGGAGACAAAGACACTTTCTTGCTCACTGGCTACTTTTGCCACAAAGTAGCCCACTGACTATGTTTGCCATGTGGAATTTCTTCCATGCCCATCATCGTCTCTGTAGTAGATTGGTACTGCCAGGAGCAGACATGTCTCATTGTTATAATATAATCCCCTATGTTATTAAAACATCTTAAATGCCATATTCTGTAGATTTCTGAAGTGTCTGAAGATGACCTGTCTTCCTAAAATAGCCCTGTGACTCATTGCATTTGGGTGAACACACATGTTCCACAATGGCCACATTCCTGGTGAGTCTCCTAACATGTGCAGACACCTGAGTACTGCATTGGAATAAAATTAATCATACATATTATCCAACTGTAATTTCATCCCTTTCATTTCTTCTTTGCATTAATGTTGAGAAGTTAAACCAATTTTAAAATATGTGTTGGGGCTGCGTAAGGTGGCAAACTCCTCAAATCCAAGCAGTCTGAGCCAGAAGCATAGTTTCTCAATCTTCTATCCCAAGGGAGATACAAAAACAAGACACCTTGTCACAGAATGACAACATTTGCACTGTGATTTCACTAGGCATATTCATATAGTAGCATAGAGTATGGCATTTTGGAGTAAAATATGTTGAGGCAAAAATACAATCAGGTTATATAAAATATTAATATGATTATTAGGAACACCACAATTTGTTTTGGAAACAACTGCATGCAAGTACTTTGTAATATTGTTTCCAGCTTCCTGCCTTGAAATTGTGCTATTGGCAACAGGTGTGGAGCCCACTGAACAAAGAAGAGAGGCAGGTGCACTGGCAGAAACACCTTTTCAGTACAGAAAATGTTTGCAAAGTATACTTGACATTAGAGTACACGGGGAGGAATGAATCTGGCATACCATAGTTTCATTTCTGTTCTTTTTGTAGAATTCAAATAAATGGCACTCTCCAATACTCAAAGGGGAAATAACCTGAAACTTTCTAGTTACATTTGTGACAAATGTTCCTCAGTGAATGGAAAGCAAATATTTAAATGAAACTAAGTATTAGTAATGCAGTTAATATACAGTTTCATCTTTTAAAATAAATTCTATATGTATGGGTTTTTGCCTATGTATGTTTATGAACCACATAGCATTCCTGGTGCCTGCAGAGGCAAGAAGGGAGTTGGGTGCTGTTGTGTGAGTGCTGGGAATTGAACCCTGGTCCTGTGCAACAGCCACTGAGTCACTCTCCAGCCCTGAAATTGTTATTTCTTAGTTTCTCTTTCTAGATCTGACCACTGCCTTATTTTAATCATTTTATAGTGTCAATGTAATACACACAGACACACACACACACACACACACACACACACACACACACACACAAATCACCAAGGGCATTTACATGGAGCTGGAAATTCTCAACTCTCAGTAAATCCTCAAATCATCAGGAACTTGATTAAATGAGTACTGTGGCTCTCTATGTCAGAAACTTTGATTTCTTAGTTCTAAACAAACAATTACAAACAAGACAAACAATTATTTCTGTTACACTGCTGTTGAGCACTGCAAACACTAATTTGAATATTGCTTTAATGACACAAGCAAGCCTTAGCAGTTCACTCTATGTTTTCCTGCTTCGTAATGTTTCTCTCATCCCTTCTCCTATTCCAGTTCCATTAGACTTCAAACTCTGACTCAAAATACAATTCCTGAAACCTAGATAGCACTGGACTGACTATGCCAGGCAGAGATCTTTGTGCTCTCACAGTAGTAGTCATTTGTTGAAACTTTTGGAATATCCTATTTTACTAATGTATTATGATTACTACTCTGATATCTTAAATGAATCAAAAGAAACTTATTTTAAAATTAGTTGTGCATTTTGAAATTTGTGATTCAGAAGTCTAGGCTTTAGTTCAGTTTCATCTCAACACTGAATTTAATAATTGTTATAACTTAAACATCTATAAAAATTCATAAGCTCAAGGGAAGGATTTTATAACAAATACTTCCTAAGTTAAATAATCAAGTATGCAACCAGATTCACCAATTTGTGTGAGTGACTTTGTAGCAATTTTGTTCAAACTCAGTAGTTTTGCCTTCCTTGGCTAATCAATTCTTAGGAGTTATTCATAAATTGTTGCATTTAAAAACATTTTTGTAATAAGTAATATGTTCCTAAGGTACAATATTCAAACATGAACAAATGAAGTCTCCTTCAAAACTCTTTTTTTTATCTTCAGCTTTCTCTCCTACAGGCAACCACACCTGGACATTTAAAGCAAGATTTGGAACCACTGTGTGCTTAAATATCACACTGAATGAGGAAGAACACGGTTCTCCTATCCATATAACCTCCCATTCATTTGCCTTATTTGATTAGAATTTCACTAGGGATTGTAGGAATCATGAACATAAGAGTACCAACAGTTATTCCTTCTAGTTATATAACCTCTTTATTTATGATTTTTGTTTTTGGTTTTCCAAGACAGGGTTTTTCTGTGTAGTTTTGGAGTATGTCCTGAAACTCTCTCTGTAGATCAGGCTGGTCTCAAACTCACAGAGATCTTTCTGCCTCTGCTTCCTAAGTG